TTGCAAAAATACACCAGATTAGATCTTCTAATTAATGCAGATTCTCAAAGAACTATATTGCCATTAGACCCACATAATTGTCCTGCCTTCTTTCAGTTGAGGTAGGATTTTCTGTGCTCCAAACTTGGATTACTGTATCCTGCATCTGTTTTCTGTTATGTTCAGAGCTGAAATATGGCACTGATATTTTAATACTTGGTAGATCCTGTGTTCAGCCTCCACCAGATGTATTTTAAATTACTCTGTGAAGGACTGAACTGCTATTGAGGACTGTGAGGTGTTATTTGCCCTTAGTTAACTCTCAAATACAGCTTCCTTCTTGTGAAACTCCAAATATTCATACTTCTTATATTTAAATCATATTTATGTGAGTGATAGTACATCCAAAACTTTTTTCAGTGATTCTTGGCTATAAATTCATTTAAAATCTATTTTTGTTAGTGTTTTTGCTTATTTGCTTTCAAGATCTTTGTTTTTAGTCCCTCTGCAAATCTTTGTTGCCACCTATGTACCCAGCTCCTGCTGTGGCCTGTGAATTCATTCACTGGTAACTAGCACTTTGCTTCCCAAAGCTTCTGAGCAGATGCAAACCCACCAGCCATTTGTTTGCTCTGTCATGGAGGCTCTGGGCCAACCAASGGGCCAAAAACACAAGTGGAGCTCACTGTGCTTCTGTGGTCAAATKAAATTTCATTCCCTTCTCTGTCAGGAAGCAGCCAGGGCCTCCTAACAGGAGACCTGGATTATATCTCTGGCTTTATTGTTTACAGCTTTTCTGACCCTGGAAAAGCCACTAAGCATTCTCACTCTCCCTGGGGGCCTTGTTCCTCACGTAGGAGAGAGAAGTYCTTATGGGTAGAATGTTCCCCTGACATGAGATGTTACAAACGAGAACTGCTGGCACCATTTCTCACCACTTGGTAGTTAGTAAATGATACCTGAATCTGAATGATGACATATGGGCTGTTTTGGTTAGGTTTCGGTAAAAAGAGAAAGGCAAAAAATATCAAAAGCCTAGTAGCTCTGACATTGGCCCCAGCTTGCTGGAAGCAGGGGCATTTTCTTTCTGGTTGTCACTGATGGTTCACAGCCCAGGCCCTGAACAACAGCAGGCCAGACCTGGTTCTAAATCCTGGTTGCCTCATATGCTATCCCTGGGCTCTTGGGCAAGTTACTCCACCTGCATGATCTCAGCTTCTCATGCATGAAATAAAGGTGATAGTTACATGTCATAGGATTGCTGTGAAGATTGAATGAGACTAGGTATAGTTGATACTTAACAAGGAGATGGTTCTTAAAAACTAAGCCCACAATGGTAAATAACTGYTCTTACTGTTTTCTTCATTATTTTAATCATCACCACCACCAGGTCTAAGAGGTTCCCTCAGGCAGGGACTTTAMTCTATTGGCATGGGAAGCTTTTGTCCAGCAGATTAGGAACTCTTTAAAGTTGTTCARAATTATACTTTCTTATTCTAGAAAAATAGCTAAGGACCTTTGCCTTTTTCTGATATTATATAGAAAAATCAATACCAGAAAATTTTATTTAGCAGACAGAATTTCCAGAAAAGTAGGTTACTTGTTAATACATTTCAGTTGGATGCATTCTAAAGCTTTATCCTATTCTTGCTGTCCCTTATTTCATCCTTCCAGTGATTTCTGCTTATATCTGAAGTACTGTTTGTGTTCCTTRTAGGTAAACCCTTCTAATCACAGGCTCCTGTTTGAAGTATTTGACGAAAACAGATTGGTGAGTGATTCCTCACTATTGAATTTTGCTTCATTTCTTAAACACTGAATTTTTAGAGTAGCATCTTCCAAACTCTGTCTTTGGGTTGTACTTCCAACAGTTTTCATGCTGAAAGTGAAGACTATTTTTGTCCTACTCTTAATGTTTTTAATTTCAGCAAACATTTGTGTGTTGCTAGGACAGAAAATTTACTTGAATAAATGTATATTTTTATTGCAGTTGTTATTAATGCAAATTACTGATGATAGGCTCAGCCTAAATGCTTGTGTTTTGGTTTGGGGCATACAGAATGGTAGGCAAATTTGTAAAGAGGCCATCAGGCAWGTAAGCAAACTTTGTGGGGACTTTAAATGTAATTACTGTGATGCCTTCAGTAGCTTATCTATGGTGATTCTCAGAGGAAATGAAAATTTGGTTAACTATATAGAAGAAAGTAAATCTATACTTAGTAATAATTAAGCTGTTTTAAAAGTTGTACTTTCTCAAGAGAGATCCTTAGAAAGTACCTTTAAAAGATCAAAAATAAGGGCTGAGTGCAGCTCAGTGATAGAGTGCTTGACTAACTTGCACAGGCTCCTGGATTCCATTTCCAACACCGCCACCCCCCCAAAAAATAAAAAAAACAGTAGATACACACCTGAGGCATATAACTGATACAAACTTGCATTTTATATGCAGGTTAATATAAGAGATATGGGCTATAACTAAGATTTTATTTKCAAAATTGCTTTAAAAACAAATATGATGCTTTAATATTTAACAAATCTTAAAGCATTTTGCTTTCTTAGCTAATTAGAATCAAGTACCCATAACCGTGTTCCCACTGTGACACCAAACACTATTGTGTTATGTGTAAGGCTTTATTTACGGTACTTTAGAAGTGATATTAAAACTCGGTTATACTCAAATTTACCTTCTCTGAAACTTATGCACATTCACTAGTTAAAAGAAATGTTCTTATAAACCCTTATTTCTGCAGAATTCAACGGAAACTCCAAAATTGAGAAGATCTTCATGTTAATAAAGTATCATCAGGAGGAGCCTTAAAACACATTATGCAACTCCCTGTCCTGATAGATAAGAGGTCACTGGTCTAGAACCTTTATAGAATTAAGCATATAAGTCAGGGGACATGCCAGGGTTCAATCCCCTTTCTCTTCTGCCTCAACCTGGTGCTGAGGAATACCCAGAATTTTTGCCCTTTGGTGTAGAATTAGGGAATGTTATTTAATCCAATATGCTTGGTAGTATTCTCCAAAACAGAAAACTAAGAAATTCCTTTCTACCATCCTAGTATTTTTCCTATTAAAAATATGGGATCTGGGGTGGGGGGCTATGCATTTCCCTGGATGTTTTGTGCCTTGGGGTGATAATTGGTAGCATCAAGTAACTAAATCCCTTTTGTTATTTGTGTGAAGGTATTCTGCTGAGGGTGCAATTCTTGCCTATCCAGCCAGGACTGTAGGGATGGGGCAGTATTTAGTGWCATATAGCATAACTCACTGTGGACATGGAGGCCTCCACACACTAATCCTTATTCTCTGTTTTATTGAGTAAAATAACYCTTAATATCGAGAAAGGGTCAAATTTAAAGAAAAAAAAATGCTTCTTGTTTGTGTTTTAGTTTATCACTGAATATTCTTCTGAGAGAAATTCACTGTTTAAAAAATTTTTCCATTTCCATGATCTAAAATAATGACTGTAGTTGAGATGACCTTGCCAYGGATCAGAAACTATACTTTTAAACCAAAAAAGGCTTTGAATGCAAAGCTTTTAAGAAATCTGGTGTGAATACAAACTTGATCTACACAAATGTGTTTTATAATATTAATACTTAGCTTGCCCCAGGCTGTCTGCAGTGTTGTTACTATGCAAAGAATGCTGGTTTGTGGTGGTGGCTTTTTTCTTTGTTGGCTATTAATCCAGTGAAGATAATGTGTGACTCTAGTAGTACTTGGAAATTCTAGCATTAAACAAACCTAGCTTCTATTTCCACAGAGAGATGATTTTTTGGCATTTAAAACTCATGCTTTTAGAAAACGGGTTTAGATGTGTGTAAATGCAGGGTTAATCCTCCATACCCTTGACTCTAGAACTGTTGACAAAGCTATGCTTTGCAGATTTTAAAATAAACTTTGTCATTCATTGCAGTTTGGTATTTTCCCCTTCTTTTTAATTTTTTTAACCCCCTCCTAAATAAACCTCTAATGTTTCTGAATCATAGAAAATACTAAGTTTGAAACACAGAATAACTACAAGACTAACCAGACTAACAACAAACCCGATGACAGTTTTTGGAATGTGCCCTTTTATTTCTTAGGTCCTTTTTGGCTTACTGCARATAGCAAGATTCCTTGTTTGAATCCCAACTGGGGTAATATTGCTGACTTCCTACTGGAAAAAAGTCGGCTCCAAGCAGCATTTTTTTCTGTATGGTATTTTAAGTTAAATTACTATAGAAAACCACATGCATACCCGCCTTCAATTTTCCCTGATGTTTTSTGTATGGGTGTGAAGGGGTTCACCTATCTGGCATATAAGAGAATATTTTCTTCAGCTGAGTTCTTTTGGTCTGGTACTTCTGTATGTGTGGATCCTATTGCATGTGAGAGGCACATGTGCCCCTTTTAAATGAAAAATGTTCATAGTAGCAAGAGGCAGCCCAGATGCACAGCTGGCTGTGTAGTAAATTGTGCCCCACGAAGCTATTTTGTTACTTRTAGATCATGGTCTAATTATTTCCCACTAAAGGGACACTCATGCTGTGGGGTGTGTAATCGTATTTATAGTACCTTTTATTAGTTTGCATTCCGTCATGGTCGTGTAGTGATATCATAAATAACAGAAACATAACCTCTGATGCTTGGGAACTACCCCCTCCCSATGCAGCCAAGCTGTACTTGTCGTTATTCGCTGTGGTGGGGAGGTGGGGACATACCAGTGTGTGCTTGTGTTGAGTGCCAGATCCCTAGCACCCGTTAGAGAGTCCCAGGGCTCTGAGTAGTTGGGAAAGAAATGTCCCATGAATGTGATGCGGGCAGATTTACAGCGGCACAGCCCGAGGTGTGTTTGCTGCCTCWGTAAGCTGCGCAGCTCCCCGCTGGGCCGCTGCTTTCTGACGGGACAGCAGCAGCTGGGAAGGTGCTGTTTCAGGCTCTTGCTGTTTAAAAAAAAAAAAAAAATATGAGAGGGAGAGGGGGGAAACTGCAGAGAGTCCACAAGCTGGCATTGGAGGGGGAGAGCGCGGTCATGTGGTTCTGGCCATCCTACCCTCTGTCACAGTGTAGATGAGAGCTTTTTGCTCTTATCCAATCATGCCTGGAATGCCGCTTGCCACTTGGGCTATTTCTGCTATCTGTCGCTCTTGGTGCGGCAGTGCTAACAGTTTGGCAGATGGGACACTTTTTCTTGGAGTTGGTGTCGTTGGTTTTTGACTTCTGGCAGTGCCGGGCTTGTTGTTGCCGCTCGTCCTCTCCCTCCCGGCCCCCCTGGTCACCATGGCCCATCGGCTGCGGTTTCATTTTGGCTCTAGTCGCAGCAACACAGCCCCCGAGTCAGAGATCCTAGACCAGGAGAGAGAAGACGACTTTTTCATGGCATTCCACACCCTCCCGCGGAGGAGCGGCCCGCACCCTTTCGCCCAGAACGGACGGGAGGACAGTGGCAGTGGCCTACAAGAAGGCGTGGGCGCACTCAAGCGCAGCACGTCCATGTTCATCCCGCAGCTGCTCACGGGCATTGACGCCCGCCCCACCCGCAGCTCMTCGGTGCAGATCTCCCTGCAGCGCAAGGCCGCTGATGGTGCCACCGACGGGTGCGGGCCACCKGAAGGCCCTGATGACCGTCCCCCGAGCACTGCCTCCGACTTCGGGGACCAGGTCACCACTGCCTTGGCCACAAGAGCCTCGTCTCAGAGCAGCTCTCAGGAACCCTCACCAGGGGACACCCCCGGGAGCTCCCCTCCAAGGGCAGCCCGAGACCCGGGGCCCCAGGTCAATGGCACATGTGGTCGCCGSGTGCGATGCCCTGGTCCAGCCAACAGCACCGAGGAGGCCACCCCCGGCCTTCGCATCCAGCACCGAGCCTCCAGTGCAGATGTGCGCCAGGTGCGGCTGCTGCCTTTTGGCCCCGACGGCCAGGCAGGCCCGGCTGCGCCTGAACCCAGGCGTTGGTCCTTGCAGCATGTTCCAGATGCTTCTGGAAGCTCTGGGAAACGGTGCTTTGTCTTCCAGTTGCAGCAGCCCCAACCAGGTGCTCCAGGACTGGGCGGGGACTTCAATTTTGGCTTCACCGGCACAAAGGGCGACAGGTTGGTGAGGTATCCGCGTATTCGGCTGGAGAGGAGCACTTCTTACCCTACCCAGCCCCGAGCAGGGCSGGGGAGCCCCACAGAAGACCGGGGAGCCCCAGAGGCGCCACCTCGGGCTGGCAGGATGGCTCCAGAGATTCGTAGGACGAATTCCATGGAGAGGACTCCACAGGGTCAAGGGTGCACGTTTAAGATCAGGCAAGATCAAAACGCAGGGCAGCAGCATTTCCGAATTCTTGTTACTCGGGGACCTGATGAAGAGCCCCAGAATCCCGAGGAGGAGAATACCAAGAGCCCTGCTTCCCCAGGAGCCAGTGCCCTGGTAAGTCCGTGTGCAAGTCATTCAGAAAGGAAGGTTCCTACTCAGTTTTTCTGYGGCATAATTAGAATAAACTTCATCCTGTGTTCTGGGAGTTTCCCTGTTTCTAGCCTGTGGAACCCAACGTTTGGCCCCACTCTGGAATGATGATTTGCGATCTAGTGTTTGGTAGAGATCCATGAATACTAGTTAGCCTTTTATAAAATATCTTTGCTTTAGGTCCTCAAAGTTAAAGAGCTCTMTTTTAGAAATCTAAGAAAAACTCTCTCTCTCTCTCTCTCTCTCTCTCTCTCTCTCTCTCTCTCTCATTTTTCCTTCTGAATAAAAGCCTTTTTAAAAAATTATTACTTAAACTTAGATTGACCAAAACCAAAAAAGTCAGTGTCAGAACGTGTTGATGTTGGAAAGCATTTTTAAAGCCATTTGCTAATACAGCCAGGGACAACACTTTATAACAAAACAATCAGTTCTGATAAAAATGAGAGGATATTATAAAAGGCTCCAGTTTTTCCTCTTAATGCTTAAGTGTATATAAAGTTTGGTTCTTCCTAATGGCCTTTTTGCTGTAGAGGATCGTGACAAGTCCTTGTTACATAATTTATTGTCTTGATTTTTGTCTCATTAGGTAATACAGAGCAAGAGTAGTGTCACTTTGGGGACAGTGAAAGATGTGTTTTTGAAGCATATTGGCTAATGGACCAAGGTTAGGGGAAGGTGTGACAGGGACTCATTAATGGTCAGGTTGCATGGCAGTGCAACTTAACACTGCCCACTGGAGTGCCCAAGCCAAGGATGCTGTGTACAGTCTGGTAAGTGCCCTCCAGCTGTGCACACAAACACTTTGCCGGAGATTCTGGCTCTGCTGTGCCTGTGTTCTCTCTAGCTCCSTTTCAGTGAAATGGAACACAGAAAGACAGCTGCCAACTCCTCCAGCATGTGATGACTCTGCAGCTTTCAGAGTTTGAGAGCAGGATGAAAACTTTAATCAGGTTTTCATTTTACTGGTAATCACTAGCCATCAAGGGTTTTCTTAAAGAACAAGCACCTTATATTTTGAATCGGCTATTTTTTTCCTGAACCCCATGTGATTACTAGTTGTGCGGTGTGATGATGAAATGTCTACAGGACTTTTTGTTTGGATTACATCTGTGAATTGYCTTTCAAAGCAAGGGGCTGATATTACTCTAGAATTATTTGGTTCTAAACTGCTTTTGTTCAGAAATATTTGTTGCGACTTAAGTGAACTTTATCATTGCTTCAACATTGTTTCTCACATTTTGAAGRTATAATCAGATGCTAAATGCAAATGCATTTTTTTCTTCATTTCTCTCATTACRTAAGTACTTTCTTTTGTTACCTCAAACCAATTTTAAGGAAATAACTTTATTTTGGTCTGAACTCATGACACCTATTATACAACGATACAAAYTGCAAAAGAGTTTTGATAGGATAGCAGCTTGTAACCCGCCCCAAGAAATTATCATATTTGTAGACCTTTTGTTCAGCACAAGTTCCAACTTAGACCACCTACTACATCAAGATTGAATGTTCAGTTATATTACTGAACACTTAAATTACTTTGCAGTTCAGATGTTGAAGGCAAGTGCATTTATATGATTAAAATCTCATTTGGTGTAGGGCTTGGAGGCATACACTGGCAATTCCAGCTACTTGGGATTCTGAGGCAGGGGGATTGCAAGTTAGAGGCCAGCCTCATTATCTTATAAACTTAGTGAGACCCTGTCTCAAAATTTTAAAAAATAAATAAATATCTAGGGATATAGCTCAGTGGGTAGGACACTCTGGTTAATGGTCAATGCCCAGTAACTGTGGGGGGGAACCTTTTTTTTAAATCTCATGTGGGGTGGAGTTCCTAATGTAATAACAAAGTTTTTGGTATATTTAATTTGTAATCTTAGAAGTTTTTTTCTAATGTGGAAGGATTATGCTGTGGAAAGCAAATTTCTACAAAGTTACAAATACAATTTCTGGAATAAATAGGTGGTTTTGGAGAATAAATTCCATCTAGTGAATGGGTTGTGTGTGTGTGTGTGTGTGTGCATATATACACACACATATGTACATAAATTATGACAAGGTAAGCTGGTTTTCTCTTAAGCAAAGCTTTTTTTTTTTTTTTAAATCAAAACTCGTAATAAAACTATCTGTTCCATTCAGCAACTCTGTGCCTGATTCGTATGGACCCAGGGCTGTTAGGCACAGGCAGCAGCTGCCATGGCCTTATTTATCTCAAAGGAAAACATTCACTTGGGCGTCTGCAGTCTGGCTGCCACCAGACCTTTTCGGCGTTTCAAATATCTGCTGCTGGATCAGAAGGGCATTTCATTATTAAATTTGCATGAAACATCTAAAATCCATTACAATCTGGTTTTGGAATGATATGGGAAATCTTTTTTGATTTGGGAATACCTTTCAGGATTCCTTTTACAAATGTGTTCAAATTTCATAAGTTGCGCCTTAGATCTTACTACAAGATTAAGTTGCTATGTGCTTTTATCTGTCTTTGCCTTTTAGACATTCTGCCATGAGTAAATCTAAGATGCAACATGACTCCAAAAACTGAACCAGCTAGATTCTTAGAAAAAATACAGGGCAACCTGTGTGATGATAGATTTCTACCAGGTCAGCCACCATCATTAAAGCTGAATTGGTTCTTCCAGTCATCAGTGATAATCAGCTAAAATAATTCAGAAGTCTTAAAATACCTGTTCAATGTATGATGTTATTCCTAGTCATTTAACAAATAACTTAGTTGTCTTAAATGAGTTCTTGGATTATTTTGTTTGATTATAAACCTCTTAACTGCCTTAGAGTTATTCTGAAGAAGCTGGGTCAACCTTTAATAGCATGTGTGCCCCCTTTGGATACTGTCCTGTGCATAATAACTGCTAAGCTTTGCATTTTACAAGCCTGGGGAGCCAGTTTTCTAATTCCATTAATATTATTAAGTGTTTAAAGGTCTACTGTGTATTACACTAGTTAATTGAAAAGTTTTACATACTGTCACAATTTGTGGCTGACACAAGAGTTTTCAAGGTAAATGGAGAAGGAAGACCCACAGGGTAAAACCAAGAATTATCACACCTGCTTCCCACACTAATAGGAATAGGAAGGCAGTGTCCTCTCCATTCCTTCCCTTCCAGGTGCTCTGAGCTTTCCAGTATCCTCAGTGGGCATATGTTTTGGAGAATAAATTCTATCTAGTGAATGGGTTATGTGTGTGTGTGTGTGTGTGTGTGTGTGTGTGTGTGTGTGTGTGTCACAGTATGTACATAAATTATGACAAGGTAAGCTGTGTTTTTATTTGGAGGGAATTTTAGTTTGAGTGTTTCAGAAAATATACATATAGTAAGATATATATGCCTATGCATAATATACACATTTATAATCATATATACACATGTAATGCACACATGTGAATGTGTAAAACAAATGTATGCATGATAGACATATGTGACTGATACATAAATGTATGATACATATGTAATAGATAATGTACATGTGTGTATGCTTAATACATGCATGCAATGCACACCTATGTTTGATTACACATACATATAGGTGAATAATACTCACATGTATGCATAATAGACATAATAGGCACACATATGTATGATGCACATGTGCATGTATAATGCACATGCATGTCTAATATATGTATGAAAGATACTCATGTATAATAAACACATGTATAACAATGCATGCATATGCTATACATGTATGTATAATAGACACATGTAYGTGTAGTAGACACATGTATAACGCATATTTATATAATGCACACACATATTTGCATGATTTAAAAAAGCATGGCTTCAACAAGCAGTTTTAATGCTTCTTGGGATGTGACTTTTTGCTGAAAAGTTTGGAGGTAACTCATTTTGATGCCATGCACCACTGATCTAATGGAAGAGATGGTTTTGGAGACCCAAAAAGCAGCTTTGACCAATTACTGGCTTTGGGTCCTTGGGTAGCTACTCCCTTTTCAGTCTAATGAGAACAAAATGTCCAGTTTTCAGGGTTCCTTCACCAAAAACTAACCAAACAAACCCAGCTCCTGGGTTGCTAGCCAGGCTTAGTTAGGTCTGAATGAGGCAGCATTATAGCAGCAGCACCTGGTCATGAGCTAAGCGTACAAGTCCTTACCCTACGAAGTTAATCAGGTTGGCTTGAACAGTTTTTGATCYTCATGGCATTAAACACAAGGACAGCATGCATTTATGAAATGTTAACTTTAATAACCAGCTTTGATGTCTTTTCTGCCACCCTCTGGTCATTCATCTTTGTCCTTGACACTGCCCTGTGGTGATGTTATCCTTGAAAAGAATTGACTTGTGAGCTATGCTTCRTAGAAGACCATTGATAATATTTGCAATATTAATTTTTTGAAACCTGAAAAACATTTAAACTGCATTTCCTACATAGATTTACCATGTTATTTTGCTATATATAATTGGTTTCCAGTGATTTAGGTTTGTTTTCTGTATGAAATTTTTATATCATGACTTAAACACAAGGAACATATGTGGGGAATATGCTTTATTAGATCCTTCCAAAGGGCTTTCATAAATGTCACAGCTGCTTTGGCCACACCTGAGGCAGAGTTCTTGGTCATTGAAATTTCCAATTTTATAATACATATCAGTAAGAAATTTTCTGTCCCTACATAATAGTTAACAAGACCAGAAGGAATTTATTCTGTCAAAATCATTTTAAAATTTTATAAGTGTTGAATGTTTCTGAAGTTGATGGATATTTTTGTGTAGTCAAGCCTAATCCAAGTAATGCTACTTGTGCCAACTTCAAATGATCAAGCAGACTTTTAAATAAAAATAATTGCATATTATTATTGGTAAGAGAAATTAGCCTAAAGACTTTTTTTTCCTTTTAACTCTTAATTACACCACCAAGACATTTGCAAAAGGGAAAAAATAAAATTCATTGATGGTGTTGAACCTGTTGATTCGGTGCATGGGTACCAG